TTTGGTTATAGTTAAAATAGAATATTTACCATAATATAAGGGATCCTATTAATCTAAATAATTAATTATATTTTGAATTCTGAGATTGATTAATACATTTGTGGGTGTGTGCGTTTGTGTTACATGGTGTGTGCATGGTGTGTGCCTGGCGTGCTTTTTTGTGCATTGGCGTGGTATGGCGTGTGCATTGGTCTGATATGGCGTGTGCGTTGCATCTTTTAGGCGTGCGCGTGAGTTTGTTTTCATTTTGGCTGGTGCAAGTTTATTGGAAATACACAACGAACAAGCCCAAGTACATGAATTAGCTTTTTGTATAGACGTTTGTATTTTCAAGTGGATAGAAAGTGCATAGTAGAGATCGTATTGTGCGTTTCCTTGTTTTTTTTTTTTTTTTGAATTTGGTGTGTAGGTGTGTGTAGGAATTAGTGGTGTCGTGTGCGTTTGTCTGGTCATCTGTGCAAACAACATTGTGGTGTGTGCGTAACACTCCTTTGTGCACGATTTTTTTGTTGTACAGCTCTCACCAAAAAATAATTACTACTTATTGCCATTAATATTCTCTCTATTATTATGCTAAAGATTTCCATTTAATTCTAACCAAAATTAACACACTACTAGAATTACTTTTTAACCCTTCTCATTATAATATGTCCTTAATTACTTCATATTTCTCATTCAATCCAACCATCCATTAAGAATGTATTAAGGATGGGATGAGATCTCATGATCTCATTTAACATGGGGGGTCTCATGGGATCCGCACCATACATACATACATACATACATACATACATAGATATATATATATATATATATATATATATATATATATATATATATATATATATATATATATATATATATAGGGGGGCCTTCAAGTAAGAACCCTTTCTTAGGTAGGAACTTAGGAACCCATCCAAGCCGTTAAAAGTTGCACAATCAAAGGTCTAAATAATTAGTCATTTTTATCTAGATCTTAAACATAATTAATTAAAAAGGCTAACACTGTAATTTTCCCATAAACTAATATTATATTTCGATTCCTGCCTAGATTTTAGGATGGCAAGGTATGGAAGGAATCTAATTGGACTGAGAGACTACGATCTCATTTGCGGCCGTCGTATGGGAGATTTCGGAGAGCAACCAAGAGAAGAGGTGAACAACATCCGGTGAGGAATGATGGCAAGTGGAGATACTGTAGGTAAGTGTAATATTTAATTTGTTCGTTGTTTCTATGTAATATTTGATCACTGTTCGTTAGTTTGGGTCTAGCGAATTCCATGGTGGTAGTTTCTAGGGGAGTCCTGACGGCTCAGTCAAGTCATCCTAAGTGCACACACCGAGGTATGCCGTTATGGCAAACACACACAGTAGTTCTGCTTAATATGGCACACACTACGATACCCAAGTGCACAACGCCCCTTATCACAACCACTTGGATTGTGTGCACACAGCAGTTAAGGAATGGGCACACGCGAAAATCACATCTACGATGAATGTATGTGCCCTTCTACACATCCCACTCTTTGAGGCGCAGTCTTACCGTGTGTGCACCTAAGGGGTAAGTAATGTGCCAAAAAAGCTACTGGTACCTTGATTGTGTACACGTAGGACTATATGTTTGTGGCATTTACCTTAACTACATACTTTGTTGACATAACAAGTGCAACGCTTCTTAGGTCATGACAGCTCATTGAGGAGTTCATCCGAGTGCCCAATGGATACATCTTTTGGATGAACAAGTTTGGGAGCATGGAAGTGCTTGAAATCATCAAAGGAGATTGCAGTAGAACAAGCTACTGAGCGAGAAAGAAATTGTTGGACTTGCAATAAATATGGACACCATGATAGCTGCAACTGTCTCTCCGCCAGAAGCCAACATGAATCTTAATTGTTATTATTACAACATTATAGTTATTTACACATTCTTTATTATGCTATTTGTAAATGAATAAATGCAGGAAAACTTGATTATACAGGCTAATAAATATATTTTTGGGTTAAATTGTGAGCAGCTAACTTGTGTAGGTTGTGCGCATTAAAAAATATAGTACAGATTAGTGTGCACCCTAGTTAAACTGAGTGTGCCATTATGTGTTGAATCAGTGTGCATTTCGACTTACCTGTATGTGAAATAAAGTGAAGTAATAGTGTGGCCATAAACAGGAGTACACAATGGTTTATCTGTGCGGAAAAAAAATCTTGCTCAAAACATCTTTAAAAGCCTGGTAGATGTTCTACCGTTCAGTGTGCACTTTTGTTGAAATTGTTGTGCCATAACATTCAGGTTGTGAGTGTTCTTCAGGTGACTCCGAAGTTGATGTGCACACTGGTTATGCTTTATGTGCCAATGTGTGCAGTGTTACTGGCCGATTGAAACCTCCAAAACCAGGACGAGGTGATGCACCAAGGTGTGCACTTGGGTTTCAGGTGTGTGCCATAAGGCACGTAAATAGTTTCTGCATGCAAATGCGTCTAAGAAGGTGGTGTGCACATGTGTAACACAATGAGTGCTATAATGTGACATGTTTTTTGAACCATGAACTGGCATGCACTTCAGTTGATCCATGTGTGCCATAACGTGATAACATTCTGGTCAATTTTATCCACAAAGATGATGTACATGTATTACACCTCGTTGTGCAAACGCTGGTGCCATCACGAAGAGATTGGGAGTGTTCCTATTTGCAATGAGTTGGGGAAATAGCATTGTGGGTTACACCATGTGTGCCATACTTTGAAGCGTTATTGTGACCATGTATTGGCGTGCACTAAGGTTGATCTGAGTGTGTCACCAGGTGCTAAAATTCTACTAGATTGAATACACAGAGATCAGGTTCATGTAATACACTCCGGTGTGCACTTATGTTAACATATATGTGCCATTACGTAGAGATTGAGTGTGCCATAATGCCCATAATTTGGTACTACACTTAAAGCGTACAAGAAGGATGTGTGCAAATGGGCTACACCATGTGTGGCATACTGTGAAGCGTTATTGTCACCATGAACTGGCATGCACTAAAGTTTATTTGAGTGTGCCATCCTGCACTAAAATTCTTCTAAACGGAATCCACAGAGATCAGGTTCACGTAATACACTCCGGTGTGCGATTACGTTAACATGTCTGTGCCATTACGTAGAGATTGATTCTGTGCCTAATTGCCATGTGTGTGCCAAATTGTGTAATTGTAACCGTTTTGGTAAGCACTTGGATTACACAATGTGTGTTGTTTTGTCCAATGTGTCCTTATTGCAAAAATAACTTCACGAAAACTTTTTTGATTGTAAATAATATGGTGTAGACACGTCTCATCCTGTTTGTGCCAAACCGTATATAATGTGTGCACCGATGAAAAGAGAAAAAGAAGATGATGTTCACTTATATTGAATTTTATGTGCCATATTGCATTGTGTGTGCTACAATGTACCAGAATACTGTTATACTGGAACATCAGAACCCAAGATGATATGACAGCCTGGGTTGTGCACTGGAATCATGTTAATGTTGTGTGCAACATTACATCAAAGTGTCATTCATTAATAAAAGAATGGGCAAAGTAAAAAATCTAACAAAAATTAGCTATCATATCTCATAATTAGAATACATGAATGTACCCAAGTGAAGTAAAGTATTGATCAACTAGCTATAATGATCACACGTCGCTAGCTTTGTCGTCGACCGCACGCAAATTTGCAGGATTAGCCCAAAATGCATCCTGGGTTTACGTGAAAGTCGACTCAGCAGGCAAGTAGCTCTAATATGACCAAGAGCCAGTAGGCCCATCCCCAACAGCAACCGAGCTACGCTCAGGACCTGGACGAGGCTATCCATCTGTGCACTTGAACCAGCTCTAGTAGCCTTGTGAAGCACCTGCATCAACTCTATAACAGTGCTTGCTACAACCTTCGTCTTCTCGATAACCTGGTCAATCAAAGGCTACAGCACACACGACAAGAAAATTAACACACAAAACAGCCCAGAACCAAAATCTGAACCATGAGCTAACATAATGCAATGTGTACACACGTGGGCCAAACCATGTGCACCTGCGTATTACAGTGTGTGCCATCTGAGCCCACCATGTTCATAGAGTCATTTTGCGCGCTACAAAACAACAGCAAAAAAAAACACCACCCACAACAGGAAAAAAAATCTGGGTTGGAGATTTAAACAACAAAGGTCTCATCCCATATTTCTCCATTTAAACAACACATTAGCAGCTAATAACCGTTTAATAATATAAAGACAAAAGAACAACCATCACATTCTATAATATACCAAATTTAATTGAAAATCGGATGCCAACAGCAGTCAAACACATGATCAAATTACCCAAACATATATTTCTATTGCCAGAAACCAAAATCCATCCCAGTTCATATGTAATTCATTAACCCATTTTATCAATCAAATTAAATGTTCTTAATTTCATTGCAAAACCAAACACCAACTACCTCTTCTAGTATATATTCAAACCCAAAGCTAAATCCCATTGACACAACTAAATTCCCATCTCCTTAATAAGCTCAAAACCTCATGCAGAATACATCCATCTATCACATCATTAGAGTTCAAACAAAATCCTAGAAACTGCCACTCAACAAGAAACACAAAACATGCAGATCTCATTGAAAAAAAAAAAATGAAACCCACCTCGAGCAGCGGACGACCTTGTCGCTGGCCAGGGATGCTTAGGGTTCCGATCATCACCGCCAGCCATCTCAGATGGGAAACTCAAGTAGAGACGAAGAATAGACCACCGACATAGACAGGGGAGAAGCGAATGCCAACAAGCGTGAGGAAGATGGAGCCTATGACACAGTCAACCTTACGATGAAAAACTCCAGCCAGAATGCGAAAAATCAGCGATTAATCCTCACCTTCCACGCACATGCACTGCTTTGAGTTACTAAAATACCCCTAGTCGACTAAAAATAAAAACCAACTACCTTTAAAAAACTAATTAAAACATATTAAACTTGCACCATAGATTGAATAAAATACAAGGTTTAGATTAGTTCTTAGGTTCTTATCTAAAGGAGGGTTCTTATATGATTCTTATTCTATATATATATATATATATATATATATATATATATATATATATATATATATATATATATATAATCCTAAAATTCATATCTATATTATTGAAGTAAGAATTATAGAAATAATAAAATACTAAATATAACTATGGTAACATTTAATTAAAATCTAACTAAAATCAAACTTACCATTGAAGAATGTAGGAAAAAAAATATTGTGTATGCATGTGTATGGTAATAATAATGTGGAAAGATAACAGAAGTTATAACGGTAGGAATATTTTTGTCCAAAAAATTATGTAGTACAACTTTTATAGCATAAGGTACAAAAAAAAATTAACAGTAAAAATGGACATAAACCAAGGATATAACTTGGATTGAAACTTATTATGTTTTTAGATAATGAAATAATTGTCATTGACAAAATGAATTACTCCGTACCATATTAAAACGTAACCCCGAATATGTATTTAAACTAAAATCTCTCTGCAAGAGTTTTTCCTCATCCTCTATTGATCGGCCGCCGCATCCGCTCGTTTTGTGGAGACGGCGCCAACCTCCTCTCGTTTTGCGGAGATGGCGCCGGCCTCCTCTCGTTTCTTCCCCTACTCCGACCATCTCTCAATCGCCTGTCCTTTGGCCTTTCCTCCGCTGTTGGCATCTCTTCCCGCCTCTCTTCCACCGCCACCATCTCCTCGGCCCCTCACTAACGTTTCTTCAATAATATATATATATATATATATATATATATATATATATATATATATATATATATAGGAAATTTCAATTTTGGTCATATGACTATAGGGGTCTTGTTAATTTTAGTCCTTGACTTTCAAAAGTGTTAATTTAGTACCTTAACTATGCAATTTTTGTCAATTTTGGTCACCCCGGCCAAATTGTCTGCCAAATTTCATCGGAAAATTTTAATAATTAAAATAATAAAGGTATTTTGGTCGTTTCACGCCTCTTTTCTTCTTCTCTGGCGAGTCCATCCCTTTCTCTCCCGTTTCTGGCGTTCTTTCTCCCCGTAAACCCTATATTTAATATCATCAAGCCTCTTTTCCCCATCATCTTAATTCATTTCATTCGACGGAAACGGGAGAGGAAGAGATGGACTCGCATGGGAAGAAGAAAAGAGACGTGAAATGATCAAAATATCCTCATTATTTTAACAATTAAAATTTTCCGGCGAAATTTGGCTGGAGTGACCAAAATTGACAAAAATTACGTAGTTAAGGTACTAAATTGACACTTTTAAAAGTCAGGGACTGAAATTAACAATACCCCTATAGTCATAGGACCAAAATTGAAATTTCCTATATATATATATATATATATATATATATATATATATATATATATATATATATATATATATATATATATATATATATATATATATATATATATATATATATATATATATATATATATATATATATATATATATATATATATATATATATATATATATATATATATATAGATGTGTATTCAAATGAGGACAAGTATATTATAGAGGACTGTGAGGACAGATGCAGTGTGTGCCATTAGTCGGTATGTTGTGTGCATGACCGAATGTAGTCGTGTGCCACAGTTTGTATGTCGTGTGCTAGATTTGTTAATTTATAGAGCCTGGGTTCGAAACCTGATGTTTACATTTATTCTTGTGTACTATTATGTATGAAGTTGTGTGCCTGATATTAATTTGTTGTGTGCCCATTATTTGTCCTCACAGTCCTCTATATATTGTTGTCCTCATTTGAACTCAACCCTATATATATATATATATATATATATATATATATATATATATATATATATATATATATATATATATATATATATATATATATATATATATATATATATATTAGTTGTTTAGGATTTGTTTCGACGGTTTTAGATTTGATTTTCATTTGTTGTTTTGTTAAAGTTATTCCCTCTCGTTTCGTTTGCGAGTTATTTTCTCTCGTGTCTTTAGCGAGTTTTCCTCTTGTTTATTTGGCGAGTTCTTTTTTCATAAGGTGAAACAATTTATCTGATAATAGAGTATGTTTGCTTCATCTCGAGCACCGAAGAAGATCTGAACCTTGATATGCAGTTCAGATTAATGGAGATATTGTCTATGGACAGAAGAGTCACAATAGAGTTAGACTTGGGAAGCAAAATCGTTAAGAATATCAAAAGAAACTCCAGGTTCTCCAAACGAATTCAGCTTCAATCTTGAAAAACAGTCAGAGATTCAAGTTTCATGTAGCATCGGAAATTTATTTCAATATCTGATTCTAACAATGTTTTATCATTCCATCGATCTTATTGTAAACTTTTCATCGTATGATTAATGAATTAGCTCTTTTATTTCAATAATAATAATAATAATAATAATAATAATAATAATAATAATAATAATAATAATAATAATAATAATAATAATAATAATAATAATAATAATATATTTTTTTTTTTTGAAAATTATATGGTGCTTTATTAAAAATAGGCCGAAATAATATCTGGTGGGAGTAAATCCCAATACATAGCAGCAGGTTGCTGATTAGCCGTAGTAGCTAAAGCATGAGCTAAATAATTATCTAATCTAGGAATTAAATGAAACGAACAAGACTGAAATAAAGATGCAGTCAGCCTGCAACTGTCAATGGCATAGCCTAGGTATGTACGCAACGCAACGGTGGGTGTGGTAAGATAGCGATGTAGCATTAGACAATCCGTGTATATCTCGACAATTTGTTCTCCCCGATCCTTCAACCATGATAATGCCTCCTTGCATGCTAATGCCTCGGCCATAAGCGGCGAGGCACAATTCCGGAGTGGTCCGGCGTGAGCCGAAACATAAGCTCCATCCGTGTCTACTAGAACAGCTCCCCCCCGTAGCTTGGCCTGTCTCTGGCAAGAATCCCGCATAGACATAACAAATTCTCTTGGGCGACCCATACTGCGGCTCGGCAGCGTGCGGCTCGGCATGGCTCAGTTCGGCATTCTCCTGCGCCAAAGGCGGCTCGGTCGGTAGTGGGGCAGCACGGGCTACGGGTGGTGGATGCGCCCGGGTCCACGACTCCTTGGCTGCAGCGGCGATCCTGAGTATGGTGATCGGTCGTGGTAACTTTGCTTCCCAAACCGCCATATTCCTTGCTCTCCATATATTGTAAAGAATTGTTGCTGCATATAATATCCCATCAGAGTCTAGAATATTTAAAAGCTCACCAAACCAAACATGAAAAATATTTGTGTCAATGTTGGGGATCGTAAGGTTGGATTGTTCTCAAGTGTTCTTTGCAAAATCACACAACACTAGGGCATGCATTGTGTGTTCTTGAGATATTCCACACATGGCACAATGTGGATCCACATCCACTCTCTTTATAAGTAAGTTGGTTGTGGTAGGCAAAATATCACTAATGGCTCTCCAGAGAAACATTTTCCATTTTTGGGGGATTTTGAGCTTCCAAAGGTTCAACCATTCTGCAAATGTCCCATTATTATTTTGATAATTTTCAACAATTCGCCTGTATCCATTCTTAACAAAGTATATTCTCCTCGGGTCTCCATGCCAGTACCAAGTGTCATCATAATCCGGAGATACAGGTAAATAATAATAATAATAATAATATAATTGTTATTTGATTCAAATTTCAAAGTAGTATTGACTTACGTTACAAACAAGATAAGATGACACCAAATTTGGTGAAGAAGATTTTGCACAAATATCATTTTTCTAATGTGTAATAACGGCCCAATAAAAACTTGCATTATCCAATATACAGTGTAATTTTCTTGGCAAATTATGCTATGGACCCTAGTTCACCATGTGTATCATGGACACGCTGTACATTCATAATTTATATACTGTAGATTTATAATTTCTATGTTATAGATTCATAATTTCTATACTGTAGATTCATAAAATTTATAATGTAGATTCATAATTTCTATACTGCACATTTCATAAATTATGTACTGTAGATTCATAGTTTCTGTAATGTAGATTTATAATTTCTAAACTATATAGTTATTAAACTATGAACACATAGTTATCAGATTATGAATCTACAGTACAGAAATTATGAATATGCAGTATAGAAATTATGAATCTACATTATAAATTTTATGAATCTACAGTATAGAAATTATGAATCTACAGTATAAAAATTATGAATCTACATTAAGGTGGAAACGGGTCCAGGACATAACGCTCCAATTTTCTTCATAACAAAATGAAATGATGTAAAACATAAATAAATGTGACTGAGTTGGGCCTTCTTTGTGCAAAAGACTAATGTGGGCTATGGACTTGCACTCTTGACTGGTTTTTTAAATTTTTGAAATAAACAACGAACTTCATTAATAACGGCCAATCGTTATATCATGCACCAAGGGACATAATGCATTGTACGTCCTAACCCAAAATAATGACGTTTTTATAAGTTAGTGGAAAGTTGACATGACGAACATCGTTCCGTCTCTCCAATTCCGTTACAGTTTTTTTATTTTTTAACACTTGTGTTTATATGTATTATGTTAAGAGTTTATGTGAATTATGTATTATGTTAGATTATGTGTATTATGTTAAGAGTTTAGGTGTATTCTACTATACAATTCTGTACATACGAAACATGAAATTTTTTTATTTTTCTTTTTAGAAGTTAACGGCAGAAACGGAAAAACCATTCAGGACACACAATGAATTTTGCGCCATTGTGCACGATATAATTTGCCCATAATAGTCCTCAAACAAAGCATTACATATAAAGAAGAGGTAAGAAAACCACTTCATGCAATCTGACTCTCGAGCTAACACTTGGATTATCCAATTTATATATTTCTTGACAAACGAGAGTTAAAATAATTTAGCATATCTTTAATATCAAGTAAAATCAAAAGGAGGATTCTCCAGCAATATGGTCTAAACCTTGGACAACTAGAAGAGCATCAATTCACGGATGCCATTGCCTTAGGAAAACAAGTTGGTGTTTTTTTGTTTTTTTTTTTTCGAAAACAAACGTAATCATTACTTAAATGAAAACGTTCGACAAGATTACATCAGAAATAGAACCTACCCACTCCCTATAATCAGCAATGAACACAGCTTCCCTAGCTAACTTATGAGCCACCATGTTCATAGATCGCTTAAAACAAGTTGGTGTTCTAGCTAGTCAAGAAATTTGATGTATTTTAGTCTTGTTATTGCATGCTATATGCTACAGTAGGGTTAAAAAAAAAAAAACAAAACAAAAACAAAAACAAAAAAACAAAAAAAAAAAAAAAAAGAAAAAAACAAAAAAACAAAAAAACAAACAAAACAAAAACAAAAGAACAAAATGTTGGAATAGGTCATACAAGATTACAAGGTTAGGGCATAATAACCGTCGGACATGTTGATCAAACTAGATTTTAAATTAGTAGATGAACATTAAGCTTCTCTAACTAACTAGTATATCAACTTACACACAATGTCAGGAATATCTAAACTTCATTAAATATCTGATGCCTAACTCCTCAATTATTTACAATCCATTCACTTCATTCTTTTCTGATTCCCATCTGTCCAAAGTGAAGCTCCTTGAGAGCTTGTGCTTATTGGTGGCAAGTCCTTCGCGGGAATGATAACGCTCTGATTCCCATCTGTCTAACGTCACGCTTCTCGAGAGCTTATTGGCGGGAAGTACTTCGCGGGAATGATAGCATTCCGATTCCCATCTGTCCAACGTCACGCTTCTTGAGAGCTTGAGATTATTGGTGGCGAGTACTTCGGGGGAATGGCAGGGAAAATCATCAGCAGATGATATCGGGAGTGTTTGGTCCATTTCAGCTAAGTTTTCTCGTTCTCGTTCCACAAGGGTCTTTGTTATAAGTGTCTTTAGGAAATTCATGACTTGAACTGCATGAATCAGAGCTGTCAAAGGATCAGCCATCTGCATCCACAAATCATTGCATTTATTATTACACAAAAAGGAGTCCTTTTCAATTGATAGAGACACAGAATATTGCATAAAAAAAGCCCATTGACCCTTATAATGAGATAAAAAAGCGGGATGTCTTGAATTCGCTATAAAATGATTTCAGATGCTAATAATTCCACAAAAACGGTAGAAAAGGAAAGAGGGCAGCCAACATCATGAGTACGAAACAAAATATATATATTCTCGAATCTCGAGTACCTTGGTCATGTTAGGGGCAAAAATCATGGCAATATTCCTCGCATTCATCTTGTTGTAACACTCGTGCTCCACAACATCTGCCATCAAATTCACCGCCCAGTCGAACAGCGCAGCATCAGTTGGAGGAAGCAGCTTAACGATATGTGTACACTCTTCTTCGGTGTTGCAATGCATGACTTGCTCTGGGGTGAGAGAATCAAGAACCCCGGTTGGAAGCTCCCTAAACCATGCCTGGAGAGACGTTAAAGTAAGAACACACTTACACACAAGATGCTGAAGAGAAGAATTATGTTAATCAAAGGCAAGATAAAGAAAACCGCATCAACTGATAAACCTAAACATAATCTGCATTTGAGCATATTCGATCTTGTACATTCATATCTGTCACTTGTATTTAATTTATTACCAAACTTCCATTACCTTTGCTCAAAAACGAAAACCAAATACATCCGATCCACCACTTATCGTGTTTCAAATTTCACATTTTGCACCTTTTTTGGGGGGGAATTGAATGAAAGTAGAGATGGAACGAATACCTTTATCAATCCTGCTAAACAATGGACGTCAATTCCATGTGGAACAACACCACGATTCAGCATACTCCTAACGTCTTTTTCTTCACTGTTCTCTGCATTTATCCGGAATATTCCCTCTGCCTTGAACCAAATCATGGGAAAACATGAGCATCATTTGTATCCATATATCCAGGTGGTAAGATTTCACAAAAAAGAACATACATACCCGAAGCCCTCCCTCTGAATAAAGGCGACTCTGCATCTTAAGTAGAATTGTAGGCACACTGTTCCCTCTATGATCATAAGAACACTGCATTGACTGGGGAGAAACTCCAAACACACTCATACTGCAAGTCACAAAGAATCAACTAGCTTAGTTGGTAGTTAATGGTTGTTTTTTGCCCTTCAGTAAGCAGTATTTGGGGAAAGAAAGAATCAATAGAAATAAGGGAAACTGAATCTTGCTACTACAACAATACGCACAACCATCCAAAATCACATTACAATGCTACAGTGCAATTAAGAATTTGAGTGCTCTAATTCTTGAATTCTTGAATTTCTTGATTTAGGGCGGGTGAAATAAAGTATAAAAATGTAATCTTTAGCAAAAAGAGAAATTACCAGATCTGGAAAATTCATTAATGGTAAGTTACAGAAGAGGAGAATGAAGAAATGAAAAAGGAAACCTGGCGCTGGGGACTTTGCGGGGGACGTCAGGCTGGAGCTCATCGGGCAATCCAAGAAAGCCATTGAAGCGATCGAAGGTGACGTGGGAGACGTGGCGGACGTCGATTGGCCAGCCAATGTCCATGTTGGCCGCGACGTCGTCCCTCTCGACGCTGCAAGTAACCAGCGACTTTCTCAGCGCCGCCATCAGCACCGCAAGTATGGGGCTCTGAGTAGCGTGGGTGTGGCCTCCTCGGTTTTTACGCCGAAACGGTGTCGTCGTCGTCCTAGCGGTGCCATTGAAAAAGAAGCCAGAATATCTTCGTTTCACATTATTATTGTCTTGTTCGTCGTCGTCGTCGTCGTCGCCGGCGCACACAGAATGAGAACCATTAAATCCGGCCAAGGGATAGGACTTGGATCGAAACAGACGAGTCATGGGTGTGGATCATGAACAAAGAAGCTAAGCTAGGTAGCTAGAAGGAGAAGATGAAGATTCCATAGAATAGAATTGAAGAAGAAGAAGAAGACGAAAGAGATTGAGGGTTGAGCGAATTGAAGGAAGATAACAATGAAGGAGTTGGGACAGATCGGGTTGGGGAAAACGACATGATTATGATTATTATTAGAGTGTGTTGGGACAGACAACGTTATTGTTATTAATCAGAAATTCCACCCAGTATTATGTATGTATGTATGGGCTCGTGACCTCACCTCACCGGTGAATCCAAAACGGAAAAGCAAAGGAAAAGCGAGGCAAACATAACTAACTAACACATCCAAGCGGTAGCGGTGGAAATTTCAGACACCGTACCGGAACCTATCCCGTACCCAGTCAACCACTCAACGTACATTTGGGGAAATTAGCAATTAATAATAACAGAAAACAACAACCACCTTAATATATATATATATATATATATATATATAGAGAGAGAGAGAGAGAGAAGGGTTCAGGTGCGGGTATAGCTTCCCGTGCGGTTAGATCTGAGCCGTTGATCAAATTTAGATCAATGGCTCAAATCAATGAAAATTTAAAAAAAAAAAAAAAAAAAAAAAAAAAGCGTGTCTGGAAGAAAGAAGCATAAGCTAAAAATGGCGCACCTTAAATGATAGAAACACGCACCTTAAGTGTTAGATCTTAAACACAACCTCACGCACATTAAGTACAAAACTCACACACATTAAGCACAACCTCACGCACATTAAGCACAAAATCCACGCACTTTAAATATTAAGTCACAGACTTTGGCCCTGTTTGGTAAAAAATTGGCCTATAGGCTAATTTTGACTTATTTGACCACTATTAATTGTTTGATTTAGTTAAAATATCAATATAAATGTTTGGTTAATTAGCTTTTTGCAACTCCAAAAGGCTAAAATTAAAAAAGCTACTCCTAGCAACTTTTTCAATTAGCTTTTTGAGAAAAGAAATTATACCAAACAGCTATCAGCTAACAGCTAATTTACCAAACACTTTTCTACAATCAGCTAATGTTATCAACTATTTATACCCTCTAATTAACACAATCAGCTAACAACAAACAGCTATCAGCTAACAGCCATTTTACCAAACAGGGCCTTTAAGTTTTAATAACTATTGACATTAAGTACAAACTCACGCAAATTAAGTACAAAATCCACGCACATTAAGCACAACCTCACGCACATTAAGCACAAACCCCACGCACTTTAAGTATTAACTCACAGACTTTAAGTTTTAACAACTACTGACATTATCACTAACCTTACACACATTAAGCACAAGCCCTACGCACATTAAGCACAAACTCCACTCACATTAAGAACAAATCTCACGCACCTTAAGCACAAAAGTCCACACTTTAAGTTTTAACAACTACTCACGTTAAGCACAACCTCACGCACATTAAGCACAAAACTCACGCACCTTATGCACAAAACTCACGCATCTTATATACAAAACTCACGCACATTAATTACAAATCCGCCCACCTTAATTTTGACCTAGATGCAAAATTTACAAAATTGCCACTACGTTTTTTTTTTTTTTTTTTTTTTAAATTTTGGTAATCCTAAACGTTGATTTAAGCAAGATGAATGGCCCAGATTAAACCGCACAACAGCACCTGGGCACCCTAATCGCACAAGAACCTAATTTTATATATATATATATATATATATATATATATATATATATATATATATATATATATATATATATATATATATATATATAATTCAATTCTCGTATGGTTGTGCGGTTAAATCTGAATATTGATCTTGCCTAAATCAACGTCTAGGATTCACAGTGATTCAAATTTAAGGTGTGTGGTTTTCTTTCTTAAGGTGCGTGGTTTGTGTTCTTAAATGTTTTATTTGTGTGCTTAAGGTGCGTAATTTGTGTACTTAAGGTGCGTCTTTTTTAGTTAACCACACAACCGCACAACCGCATGGGAAACTATACCTGCACCTGAACCCAGGTCCCTTGTCTTTGTTGTCAATTTCAAATTTAGTCCAGACTATCGTTTTTGTCATTTAACATCCCAGACTATTATTTTTTAGACATTTTTAGTTATTCTCATTACTTTTCCTGTTTATAGTAAGGACATTTGGTATCTTCATATTTTTATTTTGTTATTTTTCTGGTTTCAACCGATTTAATTGGTTTAGAACTTTAAGTAACCTCTTAAGCTGTGTTTGGTTCGCACATGGGAATCGGAATGGTTATCAAATACTTGGTAATGGTAATGGATTTTGGTGAAAGTATTTTGCATGTTTGGTAGTAGGGTGAAATGGGAATGATTATGAATATTGTTGTTTGATTATATATGAGGAGGAATAATAGAATGAAACCCTTATTTTATTAGGGAATGTGTTTTTCAATTTAGGGGATAATCAAGACCCCTAAGTGTTCTAAAAACCTGTCAACAAAACAATAACAATGATTTTGATACCCATTCCTTATAGCTAAGGCAATTTATATCGTGCACCAGGGCGCGCATTGCATTGCATGTGCGCCCTGATGCAAAACAACGTCGTTTTATATAACTGTATAAAAAAATACACATAATTGTATAAACAAATACACATAATTGTATAAATAAACACACATAACTGTATAAAAAATACACATAATTGTATAAACAAATACACATAATTGTATAAATAAACACACATAACTGTATAAAAAATACACATAATCACGTCAACTCCCCTCCGCGCCTCCCAAAACGACATCGTTTTGGGAGGCGCGGGGCGCACAGTGCTGTGCGCGCCGTGGTGCAGGGTATAACGATTGAAACCTGTCAACCAAACACACCCTTATTTTTAGTACCATATTTCTTAATCGATTTTTAGTAAAATTCTAAACCAATTAAACCGCTTGAAATCGAAAAATAACAAAATAAAAATATGAAGAGACAAAAATGTCCTTACTAAAATAGAAAAAGTCATGAGAATGATTAAAAGTGTCCAAAAAATGATAGTCTTTAGATGTTAAATGAGAAAAATAAAAATCTGAGACTAAATTTGAAATTAACCAAAAAAAATAAGAGAGCTTTGGTGGAATTAACTCTATATATATAGTATAAGAAATAACAAAGGTTGCTAGCCTTCAAAACTCATCGTTTTTCATCATGTGTACTGCACTATGATTTTTTTTTTTTCTTAACGTTATTATTTCATTTCTGGTAACAAAAGGGGGAATGGTCCATCTCAATATTATTTTATTTTTTTCATTATAAAAAAAAAAAATTTCTTTAAATTATTCATGTATCCACATTAGTCCCTCTTTTTTCTTTTTTGAATGCTACTGGTTCTATTAGATTGTAGTATATGTTCATATACTTTCTCAACCTACTGAAACACAAAGAACCAATAATGCCTCCACTAAGACTCGAACTTACAACCTTCCAAATGAAAGTCCAACCCGGGTACCATTAGACCACATAGTCCTGGTACATTAGTTCCTCAATTATTTTTAAAGTGACAAATTTTTTTCTTTTTAAAAATAACTATTTCATTTTTTCTCCAACAAATAATTGTTTACATACGACAATCAGGATAAATGCAAAAAAAAAAAAAAAAGAATAAACACTATTTACAAATATTATAATTATAATTTTAAAATAATGCTAGTAACAAAATTAAGACTTAAACACAAAAAATTCATTAATATTTATTAATTATAATTATAACATTAATGTTACTAGTATTGACTTAAGATTATAATTATAATATTTACCAATGGTGTCTCTTTTTCACATTTATTCTGATTCCCACATATTAGAGATATGAACGTGGTTTAGTTCTAATTCTAATCCGCCAGTAGTTCATGGTTTCTGTTCAAACCGATGGTATTCCATTTGGCAACAATATTGCCAAATGGCAACAAATATTAAATATAGTGGCCGGCAGAAGTTACCGTGCGTTTAAGAATAAGGAAGCTATGATATGATTGCAGAAAGTAATAAGTAAGGAAGCTATGATATGATTGCACGAACAAAGTTACGGATTCGGGTAGCAACCGGCAGCTGGCAACATCTTAACTCAAAACACGGAAATGGCATATATGCAGACCGCCAGATTTTGTACCCATTCCGGATAAAGCTAAGATGATGACCACCACCACTCTCAACTCTCATCTCCATCTCCCACTTATTAACATTCAATAATGCATCCCTTAACCCACCACCGCCACGGGGTAAATTTTACTTTTTATCCTATAATTATTGGGATATTGTTAATTTTAGTTCACAAATTTTAAAATTTTCAATTTAGTGTCGTAAATTGTTAATTTCAGTCCCTTTGGCTATCGCATCCATTGCTGGCAATTTGGCCGGCGGAGGGACTGAAATTAAGAAAAATTGAATAATTTTGGTAGTAAATTGATAGGTTTTGAAATTCATGGACTGAAATTAACAAAATCCGAATAGTGATAGGATCAAAAGTGAAATTTACTTCCCACCACCGCCAACCTAACTAACTACTCTTTCACACAAATTATTGTCGACACCGGTAATATTAAAAGTTTCAAGTTTGATTCTGATCTCAGAGAACAATCTTTTTTAATTTGAGTCAAGTTGATGATCAATTATAGAAACTTAGACTTTAATATTACTCTAAAAGGAAAAAATTTTCAAATTTTTTTAATTCGCAAATTTAAAAGTTTATAATTATTCTGTACTATACTAATTATCTGACTAATTAGACTAGAGTTACATTTGGTTCTCCATCCGACAATATATTATGATTTATGATTTATGAATTAGAAGTTCACATGCAGGATATACCCCTACGGCATGCAGCACATGGCATTTCCTTTCTTTTTCTTTCACTTATCACCCTTGCCTTTCTCATTTTCTGCCATTGTTTCTCCCACAGCAGCCATGAGACTACAATGGTATATATTATGACTTTTTGGACAGATCGGAACCCAACACATTTTAACAGTACTACAACTACTACATATATTATATAAGTAAAAATGATTTTTTTTTTTTTTAAAACTTTACTGACATTTGCACACAATACTTCAACATTAATTATGTGTTGAATTAATTAATTTATTCTCACTCATAAGATTGAAATATTTTAATTTTTGTCCCCCCTCCCTTTTAATCATTTTGTATTTATTTAACATTACTTCTAATAAGAAATTTCGATCAATTTGTTGCCACATGATTTGACAATATAATATATAACTGTGCCAAATCTTTAATGTGTGTATTAACAAGTCCTTAGAGAGAAATAAGAACCAATTTCAGTCATACATATGAAAAAATCGCCCATATCAATTTTTTTTTTAAAAAAAAAATATAGTGGCATTTTCATAATTATTACCAACTTTACTATGTAAACTTGAACACTAAAATCTGCAATTTTTAGACTTTTTCAGGTTTGCACATTTAGTATTAACATTGCACATTTAATATTAACATTTTGCATGTTTAGTATTAAAAGATTGCACTTGCAAAAAATGTGAAAGTGCATTGCAGTTAAGATTTCAATTTTAGAGTTTATGATTGAGTTTTTGATTTAGTGGTTCACTTTTTACTGCTTAAGGTCCAGCATTTACGGTTTAGATTTAAAATTTAGTTTTTCCGTTGATTTTACAAAATTTACCAAGTTTGCATATTTAATTGTTAAAGATTGCATATTTAAGTGTTTAAGTTTGCATAATGAAGTTGAAGATAATTACGAAAATGTTACTGCGTTTTTTTTTTTCCTTTTTAAATCTAATCAGATCCGTCAAATTTTTATAGATGTAAAGCTGAGATTAATTCTTATTTCACTTATATGGTACTTTTCTCACATGATCCTTAGTAAATAATTGGAATTATATATATGGATAAAGCATCTATTTTGTCAATAAGATAATATTTTATTTATTACAAGTTTAGAACTAAATAATGAATACATAACAATTAGTATTTGATGATTTTTTTTTTAGCTATCTAGCCCACCATGAAACTAAATAATCAAGAGTAAAGTAAGTAACGAACGCAACAAAATATTGAATGAAATTTAAATAATGTTAGACTGACTAGCTACATGTACCCTTTCAGTCTTGTAATGAGTAGCATTAAATAAATGGATGGGGTATATATGAGCCTATAGGGCTATTAGTCTATTACAATCCTTAAAGACAATAGGGATAATGTATGCTTGAGACATAGGGAAGAAGATGCAATAAAATTGATTTGATGCCTTGATGTCTAAAATGTGCATATTATTTAATTTATAGGCTTGATGAGTCAATTTTTCTTACTAAAAATCTTGTTTATTGCACACATCTCCTAATGATAGATGCATAAGGTGCCCTCACACTAACTCTATACCCGACAGTGTTGTCCATTGTACTAGGTTATCACATGTTATTGCATTGCATACTCACGCAGGACTATTACATGAGGTGCACGAGTCAGTCCGATCCCTACTTTAATCTCGAGTCCTGTCCTACTCCCACTGATCTATCCCTTATATTTCTCGTCTTTCTTGTCCAGTCTAGCTAGACCCCAGGCCATCCATTTCCTCCATCTTTGCATTCCAACCCTCTAAACTTTTTCCATTATCTCCCTCTGTGCCCCATCTTCTCAACCCTTTGAACCTTTGCACCTTAACCCCAAAACTTTGCTTCTTATTAGTTGTAGTTTACGTACACCCCAACTTTTTTTTTTCTTTAATTTTATTGGCATCCTAACTTTTGTGCTTTAATTCAATTTGTGCCTCTAACTTTCTTAGTCCCTCAAACCTAACACATGCACCTCTTCTTGGTAGAGTTGTCAAAACAGGTCCAACCCGTATTTTAGACGAACTGAATTGGAGAATTTACAACCCGTTCCGTTTTCAATACCGCCAATTTGCACCCTTCTTTGATTATTTAGGTCCAACCTACACCCTTCATTGGCTCCTTAGGCCTAACATACACTCCTCTTCTATTCTCAAACTCCAATTATTTTTTGGATTCATACTCAATTTCTCCATTAGTGTTATTAAAATCTCACTATCATTGATAATGATCTACCACTACACCCTTAATATACACGAATGAAGTAAACATTGGGGTTCAACCTTTTATATGGTAACTAAAATACCCACCTAAATTTATTTTTGATATAAATTATTACTCTAGTGTTATCATACGGTTTGAACAAAATCATTATCGATATATCTAATTAATTATCTATATATCTATAACAACCTTTAATATTTTGCTCCCCTCTTGTACCATGCTTTTTAAAACTGGTGGGGTAAACTTAACAAATATTCTAATTATTAAAATGATGACTTCATCTCTCCAAACAACTTGAAGTACAAAATGCCACACGTACTCATACATACATTCGATCTGCATAATGTAATCATTAGTTAATTAAGGGTTCAAAATTAGATCAAAATAATTATGATTGGTAAGAGAAATTAAATCAAAATAATTGTGCAGAGCAGCAATGACGCCAATGCATGCAGGTTTGGGCCGTTTGGCAGCAACTCAGATCTGAAGGTGCACAAAAACTGATGCATCTATAATGAAGTAGAAGAGAGAGATTATTAGAAAATTCTTATTCTTTTAACAAATTTAAGTTTCAATCACTTATTTTACAATTAAATTAAGAGTAATTCTTATGTCACTGTCTAAAGTAATATATAAAATAATTTTTAATTAAAATATACGGAGTAATATTTTTTTATAAATTTATAAAAAAAATATTGCACATTTAATGAGACTATTTGACTAAACTGTACGTATACATAGACTATATAATGGTTCTTTAAAAAAAGAGTTAATAACACAAATGGTCCTCTGATTATTGAGGTAGTACTCCTTTTAGTTCTCAACTTTCAATTCGACCAAAACACATACCTTGACTTTTATTTTTGACCACAAATAATTCTCCCTTAGTCTTTCCGTTAAGTGAGTGTTAAATTTAAGGGTATTATCGTCAAATCAAAGAAAAAATAAAATAATTGACAATCACTACTGAAAATTATAGAATTTCCGACTACCTGAAAGTGATCTTAAATCATGTTGATACCAAAAAGTGGTCGGAAATAGCAACAAGAATTTTTCCGGATACCAAAAGTGGTCGGAACAAAACTTTGGACTTGATTTAAGATCACTTTCAGATGGTCGGAAATTTCATAATTTTCAGTAGTGAATAACAACAACAACAACAACAACAACAACAACAACAACAACAACAATAATAATAATAATAATAATAATAATAATAATAATAATAATAATAATAATAATAATAATAATAATTGATGGGGTGTGAACCCCGTGGGCTCGGGGCCCAAGAAGAAAAGAGATCAAGCCCAGAAGAAGAAGAGAAGCCCAAGAAGAAAATAGAGCAAGCCCTAAAATAGATATGGGTCAAACCGAGGGGTCGGCTCGACCCGGAGGTCGGCACGTGTAGGGGGTCGGTCTAACTAGCCGTTATTCCTACATTATCACCCATGAAACCTATTTACTACCCTATTATTACCTAATCATTACCCTACTTACTAACTAGCCGTTAGACACTTTATCAACCAACTTAATACCCATAACCCCCTAATTATCACCCATCAATACCCTACTAATGGTCCAACGGACAATTTTGGGGGGATGGGCTAGCTATAAAAAGGAGAAGAAGAGCACAAGGGGGGAGGCCACTCATTCATCTACATGTGGGACTCTCCCAAGTACTATTCTCCTACTCACTACTCTTTCTCCTTTAAGAAGACATCATTCATTCATACATACAAGCACTCTTCCTACACCACTCTCCCAAGAGAAGGCAATTCATATACACAACAAGAAGATTATCAAGAAGACTCCATTCTACCACAAAGAAGCATACTCCATCTCTATATACAAAGTATAGCTCCTTCCCTACACAATATTCTCATACTACATGTAGAAAATAGCTCTACAATATGTACAATGATACCTACAAAATGCATAGTGGAGTTAGGCTTGGCACCGCCCAAAAAGGCCCGTGGTTTTCCTTTCGGTTTCCACGTACAAAAAGCATTGAGTTATATTCGTTCTATTTATTTTTCTATAAGCCGCATGTGAAAGGTGAATCCACCGACCAAGGTTGTGTTGGACCTCCCTGGGCCCGAAAACCCAAAAACCAACACTGGCGCCGTCCGTGGGGATCGTGACAAAATGTCACGTTTGCCTCTTTATCTGAGCAATTTCGGAGAGCGTCTGGTCACTACGGACGGAAGATTGAGAAGGTTCACGGAGAGCCATGGACCAAGAAGAGAACTAGAGGAGAATCAAGTAAAGAAGATGGCGTGTCGAGGTCTACAAGAGGTAACCATTATCATCTAAATTAGATGTAGTATTTAAATTAAAGTACTCAAAGACCAAAGAGTAGTCGGTCCATCACACTGAGGGACTCGGCCGGGGGAATCAAGAAATCGAGACGCCGAATAAATGGTTCCCCCACCACGACTTTAACGGTTAACACCGTAGTCACGATTATTTTTTGTTCTACCTTTACTCTTGATCATGTGAAAAGCTTTGCTATGTTGAAGCACATAGGCAGTATGATTCTAAAAAAGGGGCTTGTAAAAAGACTCTCCAATATATATATTGGATGTTTCTGCTTTGCCACCATGAAATATGAGGAATAAATGTTCTACCTGGCAAGAATGGGTGCAGAACCTGACATGAAGATTTGGAATTCAAAAAGAATTTCAATTGCCAAGGCAGTCTACTTGGCAAAGCCAGGACTCTTGTTGAAAAAATAAAAATAAAAAAAATAGAAAAAATAGAAAATAAAAGAAAAAAATAAATAAAGGAAATAAGCCTTGAGTCGGCGAAGAGAAAAACTCAAAAGGGAGACCACCGTCTGCATTGCTTGAAACAATCGGAGAAGTCAGAACTCTTTTCAGCTCCGCTTGATGGTAAACCATCCTTTTGTCGCGTCAATGGTGACTAAAACTCTCGATCTGCAGCGCCCAAATGAACATACCGAAACGGACGAGTCACAAGGAACGACTGTAAACTGCCCAACATTTCACCAAAGGCATCCGAATACCAAAATTCTGGAATATCAATTGGCAAGACAGAAAACTTCATCTGTGATGATCAAAATATCAAACACCAAGGTGTGATAGCAGAAACAAAACAAGCATCATTTCGGAGTATGGATGGAGCGCCGATAAGGTGTGCGAGCCCCAGAAGTGACTGAATTCACCCCAAATTGCCAGACTACTCCAACTACTTGTTCTGCACCAATATCCTCCCTGCCGACTGCCGTAGTCAGCTGTAGCCCCCATGAATACGTAACAATAAAAAAAAGAGGCTACTAGTGCACTGCATGGGTGACGCCACCTTACTTGATTCCTAGTTCGGGCGACTCTTGGACATCCCACTATGATAACTACAATAGACATAGTAAATGACTCGTCAACAAACAATACAACTGCCAACAACCATCAGTTTGACGGCGCGTGGCGAGTAGGGGGACTCAGCACATCAGTTTGACGAGAATCGAGACCATAAGAAGTCGGCAGGATGGTGCTCGGCAGTCGGCGTCGATTCCCAGAAATCTGCATGTCATGCCTCTCCATACTCGACAGGCAGTTGATGGGTTTCATGTGCACGGGTGATAGTAAAAGATACGGCTGATATTGGTAAACTCCAAAACTGGTAGGTGGCAATTAAAAATCCATGGGAAGAGGTAGCGTCTCTACATTGGAAGTCACAAACAGAGAGTAGATGCTCGCAAGCCTTCTTCTAGAATTCTACCGCACTGCTCGAGAATCTCACCGCGGCCGAGCTCAATCGTATGCATTCTACAGTATATCCGGATGAGCATCCAGGAAGTCATTGTTATCGGCAACAAGAATCCGACGGAGCCGCAAACCGCCCCTACTCCTGTTAGCTGTCTGGCTCCTCGGCACCGTCGTCGTCGGAAACACACGCCTCTGGAGTAGGTCGTGTCACCATGTACTCTCTCTTTGGCCGCCGGCCGGCGTCATAAACCAACACCAGTGGCCGACTTCTTGTGAGAAGCTAGCAGCCGCCGCATACGACCGGACCACGAGTTAATGAAACCACCAAGTGGCCATGAACAGCCTATAACTCTGAAGGTTATAGCTCGTGAGATACGTGAGTAAGAGGAAACCCCGACTCCAAGGACTCGGACTCGAAGGAAGCGATCTACTGGGGACCGCCCGCTTCACGAACGATCGGTCTCCGACCGTTCGTTTACACCAATGTTCTCCAACTTCTGTAGTCGGCTGCAGCCTCCATGAGTATGGGAAAATCCAGAAACGCGCAGGTAGGCAGCAAGAGAGCCTGCGAGAGGAAATCGGCGAGAAGGTAGTCGGAAAAGGAAGAAGTCAGCTACCCAGTCGGACTCGAGTATTGTTCTCTTTCCGAGTCAGAGTCGGATTCGACTATGAAAACAAAGGAGGCGACTCCAAAGGCATAACTTCAGTGAGAATAAAGATCGACCGTAGATTATGCTCATGGGTGTTCCGTCGAGTCGCTGATTCCTCTGAGTCGCTAATCGACATTGATTCTACTCCAAAAATCGCCAACTCCTTACGGGATGCCGTCAGCAGTTGACCAACATGTGGTCGAGAAAATCAAACCCGCATGGAGTCGGAGGTCGGTCATTGAATATATATACAGACACCCTATTCAAATAGACTTGGTCGAGCGGGGGCTAGTAGAGGCTGCCTCTTCCCTTACATGGGTTCCTTAAGTCTACTGATTACTATTCATTATGGATCTCCGTCTATTGCTCCTGAACGCCTAACACCATGACCTGCAATTAGGAGCATATGAGCTCTCTCTATGTTCTGGTCTTTTTGGTATCAAAGTGGCAAATCCCCCATCTCATCCGAGTTATTTAGCTGACTCACGACTCAGACCGGTGACGATGAGCGAATGGGAACTCGATGGGGGGCGGCTTAGTACGAGCTTGGAAGATTTCTGAAATAAAAGTGGTACTCTGCTCTAAAGACGTGTGGCTTCTATTACTGCTTGCTACGTGGGCACCGTGAATTGCAACATGTGAAGTCACGCTTGATAGACCGCTGATCTCGGGTAGGCGAATTTAAGAAGGGTCGACGATGGCGGATTCCGACGACCAACACGGGCTCGGACGCAGAGAATGGAGCTCTAAAGCTCTCCGCTATTTGATCGCCAACACGCACCACCGCTCGCCATAATCATCGGAGATTCCGGCTCGGCCACCACTCACAGCCCCTCTCCGCCGGAGTACAAATGACGAGACTGCATTTTGATCATATTCCCCATGATCTCTTTATCATCGCTCTCTACAACCGATATCAAGAAGCTAAGGATTGGATAACGAGCTAGATTATGGAATATAGTGATGACCGAGTTGGAGGAATGAAGGAGTCGGCTTAGTCGGCTAGAAGGCAACCACTTAAGGAAATATAGTCAGATGGAGGAAAGTAGTCGACAAGTTGGCCAGATCAAGAAAAGTCAAGAGAAATGCATGACAATTTGGGTAAAAGTAAAATGGTGGAGACAAGCTACTGGCAGTTTCGCATGAGGCATGAGAAGATGAAAATAGTATTGCATGTGGCTAACACTCGTCAGTAAATGTACTTAGAGCTATTGCACAAGACAAAAACCATCTTGAGTACGTTTTCCCAAAAACCAAGTAGGCCAAGTACAAGGTGAAGAATGAAAACATCTCCCCGAGGCCGGTGCGGTGGTTGATCCTGTGGTCGAGTCCTGCTCCCACACGGTCGAAGGCAACGCGTGGATCCTGTGGTCGAGTCCTGCTCCGACGGTCGAAGGCAACGCGTGGATCCTGTGGTCGAGTCTTGCTCCGACGGTCGAAGGCAACGCGTGGGTCCTGTGGTCGAGTCGTGCTCCCACGGTCGAAGGCAA